CCTGCTATCAAAACCTTGCCACATAGACCCCATACAGTAGGAAAACAAAACATTAGGCCATTTCAATTATTTTAATTGGTTTTATTAGAAATTAGTACCTGGGTATTTGTATTCATATAAGAATCAGTTAATTTTGCTTAACTTTTTATTTATTTTGTTTTAAATTGCAGTAATTTTTTGACCTGATTTTTTTTATCATTAGCAGTATTCCTTTCTAGCCTAATTCCACTGTAGTCCATTACTTGACACAGAAACTGAACATTCTCCTGCAACAGAGAACAGGCCAGTATCTTTTTATGACTTTGCCATTTGGGTACAAAGAATTTACTAAACCTTTGTGAAATTCTACAGTTATACTTAACAAGCCAGAAAGCTGGACAAAATTTACTAGAACATATCTTAAAATTTTAGAGTAGTATAATGAGCCAGAGCTGAGACTTCATTGATAACTATATAAAACATGGCTATTTCATTCTGGTTTTGTTTATAAACAGGGATTTGTACCTGAAATCACAAGCAAAGCTCATGTTACGTGAAATAATTGTACCACTATTCCCCATATAAAATAATACGTGAACTGCTGAGAACAATCTAAGTTAGGTGCTGCAAAGTACAAGAAAATACCTGTGGTAGCTAGCTCTCGTCTTTCCAATGCTCTCTAGAGGATTTTAAGTTCTACTACAGATGCTGCATTTTATCCATATACTTATATATGCTCACACACAGAACTACTGTGGCATTCACATGATGTTAACAATTGCCTGGCCTGTTCTGGCTCCAGAGAGTTGCTCCTTGGAAATGATTGTAGTAATGTTGTTTCTGGTGACAGATTTCTTTTAGAATAAAAGGTGGTTACTGTCTACACAATCTGTGAACGAGCCCTAAAGACAGGCTCTAAAATGGACTACTACACATGGAAAGTTTATCATAGATTCTAGGTTCCCATAAACTTTATAAAACAAATAATGACCATACCACTGTTATGTGAACTAAATAAAAATGACAGTACCTTACCTTTCCAGCATAGTGCTGAATACCAAATGACAGTTCTACTCCTTTTGGTCTCCAGAAGTATTTGCATCGCAAGTTATCTTCAAATTTATCTAGATATTGAGAAGAGAGATTGATATAAGTGACTTAGAGTGACTGTCATCCTAATCAGGGACACCCTACTGCTCAAGAAGCCAGAACTACAATAAGCACATATATTACCAGATTGCTCAGAAATAGCTGTGTGCCACCTTCTCTGTGTTTGCTTCCAAGCTGCCACTTCTGAATGGAACAGCTTACTCTAAACCAGCCCAGCAAGACTGTCTTTCAAATCCCACTGTTTGCGGATAGTTTTGTGCATGAAAATGATCAAATAAGAGTGGCCCATGAGAAGGTGTGATGCCTTCTCATATTTTGCTACAAATTTGCTTATTTGTACATACAGGGTTTGGGGTGGACTTAATTCAAGGTACTTCCAAAGCTGTGCATATATCTCACTTGCCTAAATGCCTGTTATTTGTATTTTCCCTATCTTCCTTTTACCATTCATTTAGCTTTGTGTATCATGTTTTCAGTATATGTTATTGTCTTCAGGCTGGGACTATCCCTCATTTACCTTTGGTCTTCTGCAGAAAAAGAGGCTTCTATCTAAAACCTCTTCTAAAGAGGCTTTCTGTTTCCCATGACTACCTCTAAAGAGCTGACAGAAAAAGAAACACCACTTTCTAAGAAAAATGGCTTTTATGCCCTGTGATACTTTGTAAGCTCTTTAATATTCTGTAATGAAATTACTGCTGTTTTTTTTCGAACATTAGAATCCATTAGAATTTTGTGTTAGGTTTTCCTTTCTATTAAAGTTTAATCAAGCTTGTATTTAAAGGCAAAAGAACTCAATTTGGAATTTTGGTGGAATTGTATGGCACATCTGGAAAGGGCAAAATATCCCACTTCGCTGTCTCCTTAAGTGATCCTGCTGTACTATGTACAGATCAGCAGTAAGACCCATCACCACTGGACCAAAGAAAGTGCCTCAGTGAAAGTTAAGTTCCATATTCAGCATTAAGTGATTTATAGGACCCACAGGGAGGCTCACAGCCCTAGTACACTAATGACAACTGGAAAGAAACCATAGCATTCATTCTATCTGTGACTTGAAACTCAAGTTTCAACTCGGCCTAACAGAAGTGAAAGTTCCTGCACATATATCGTGCAATTTAACAGGCAGCTGTTATTTTTCTCTGACTAACAGTTTGAGTCACTTCTGTACATTCTGTTGAAGGAACTGGAACTCTCTGTTTCATGTGCAGCTCTAGTAAATAAAAGCAAGACAACAGTTTTAAACATGGCATGCACTGCACATTTTAAAGTTGGCACCAAGATTTGTTAAAATATATGTAAAATATGCATGAAGGAAGCGAAATATTCAGCCAGATGGCAAACCAGAAATAACACACACTTTCTATTTATGATGAGATAATCTGGAGTGAAGCAGTATTTCTAATTGGATAAACATGGGCCTAGGAGCCTGGGAGATCTAAATTTTACTCTCAACACTAATGCTGCTCACAGGGTGGTCCTAGACACAAGATTCTACTATGTTTCAGCCTTCCCTTCAGTAAATGGGGGATAAATGGTGCTTGATGTACCTCACATACAGGGACGTGACACAGGTTATTTCCTTGTAACACTGGAAAGACAATAAGCCCTTGACACCTGATATATAAAGTAACTTTTGCAATATAGAAAGAACAGAAAACACATAAGCAGATATATGATGAAGCGCAATGAAAAATACACTTAAAACATCAAATGAAATGGCACGGCCTCAGCAGGACAACTAGGCTAGTAGAACTTGAGTAAAGATGTCATTCTGCCCTCTCAAAATACACTTGTTATTTCCCAGAATTTTTGTTTGCACATACCAACTAAAGTCAGGTCTGTTGCCTGAGGAAATCGACTTTCTTCATCTAGCAGAGACAGGAGACCCATGGGTTTCTGGAGGAACATATCTAGAAGTGGACGGTTGTCCTCATACTCCACTGTAGTAGCATCAATTCCCTCGCTCTGATATTCCATCTATGAAGTCACCAGCAGAGTTTTAATACTGAACCAGTAAAAGCAACGTCATCATTAGGACATTTATGACACACAGCAATACTCTGTAGGCCCCAACAACATTACGTACAAAACTTCAACTGAAAGATGTCACTATCTTGCATTTAAATCGCATACCCACTTTATTGTTTATAATGTACTTCTGAATATGATCTATGGTTCAGGACAGCTGATTGAACTAGAACTCATCAGAGCTGAAGTTACCTGCTCAAGGGCAAAGATATGTTGATTGAAATAAAACTGGATCTGTTCATTAGCAATGTTTATGCACAGCTGTTCAAAGGAATTCCTTGCGAAGTTCTCAAATCCAAATATGTCTAGTATCCCAACATTCATCCCATTTTCAGCATTGCTGCATGTGAAAATACAAACAAAATTCATCATGGGCAACACCAACTTAAAACAAACATGGTAATGAATTCAATCTGGTAATTGATTCAATCTGCTGAAAAAACAGAGGAGGAAAAGTGTGTTTGAACCTAAGACCATTTGTGGATTTGTTCAGCATCGTTAACACTTTTGTTTTCCACTTGCTTCTTGCAAATTTCCACAAAGTCAGCAGGAGAATCACAGAAATAGACACTTAGCAGCCATACTAAAACAAGCGGCTTCAATAGGCAGGTTCCAAATAAAATCTACTGCCTGCTCCTCCAGGCAGAGAAAACGTGTCAAGCTTTCTGCTACACTCAGTCAGAAGGGTCATTACCAAGTCTGCTGCTGCTACAAGCTGGCCTGTAGGAGCCCACGTGCTAGCTCAAGTATACTCAGACCACAGTCCCCACTACACTGCCAGTACTCTGTATGATACAGTGAAGTGCCAAGTAGAGATCTCAGCTCAGAGGCATTTTCACATTTACCTAAGGGGTTTTCTTGTTTCTAAAAATCTCTACAGCTGCCTGAAAGGAGCCATATCAGTACCTGGAAATGAAGGATATGAGCATCATAATGATGCACTATGTGAACATCTCTGTAATTATGAAAAATAAAAAAAATCATCACTTACATCTCAAGTAGCAGCACAATAATAATCCAAGATCTGTGCTTATTATTAGCTTACAAAAGCAAAAGGACTGTAAAGAATGTGAATACATACTAAAGTTTTACAGTGTACTCCAATTATTTACCAGCCCTTGATATGATTTTAGTGTTCAGTACATAGGAACCATCTTTTTCAAGAGCTGTACAGCACTTCAACCACCCAATTTCCATTGATTTCCGTAGCTAAATTCCACTCAGCTCTTTGAAAATGTTGGGGTTAATGTCCTGGAAACAGAATTCAGTATCACAGCATGAAAGACATTTTGAAGCCTTAGCCAAAATAAACACAGCACCCTTTCTGCAAAATCAAAAATATACAAATGGATGAACCCATCAAAGACATATGCACAGTAAATACATGATTCAGTGATGTGTAACTTGCCATATATTTTTATCTGGCTGAAGCAGCGTATTAATACGATTTACGATCCAGCTGAAGAGCCGGCCATAAAGTGCTTTAGACATGGCATCTCGCACGTCAGCTGCTTTGTCCACAGTGTTTGTTCGGATAATCGTTTCCCCTCGTGTTACAACACAATGGGAGGTTAAGGCCTCTTGAAGTTCTTCTGACCCAATACTTAGTAGTGCAGCAGCTAAAAGACAGTGGGAAAAAAGGTACACAACTGTGACTATGCAGTAGAAATTACCAGCATTGCCCAACTGCTACCATGAGTTAGAGATTCTCACAAATACAGTCAAATTGCATTTACAGAACTGACAGTGTAAAAATGTATTTACCATTATCCAAGGCTTCTGGGTTGGGAACCTCACTTTTATCTGTTTGGTGTTGTGAAGAAATGGCAGCAAACTCAATATTTCCAGTATTTAAGATTCCAGTCAGAATTCTGTACACTGAATACACCTCCTGTAAGAGATTACAAGAAGCACTCTTAAGGAATCCAATTAGATATATAAATCATACTTAGGCTATGAAAGAAAAAGATGGGCACTGGAATGACTATTGAAGCTTGCAGCTTGCTCTGAGACCAAGCTCTGCAATTGCAAGTAAGCACCTATTGACACAGAAAACTGTGATACAGAATTGTGAGTGGACTTGCCTGAGTACCACCTGAGACCTCAGGCTGGTCTTGGCTTCCCAGTGTGTGGTTATGCTTTCGTGGTTCACATCTGTTCTAAATACGATTCTGAGGCACAGGTTTGGATCCACAAAACCAAATGGCAGCCTGTGCCCAGGCAGCACTGGAGTGGGGTTTTATAAAGAAGGTCAATAATGGTTTAGCAACTGGATGTCTTACCTCATCAGTGAATCCTATAATTCTAAAGCAATGCTGAATCGCTTCAAATTGTCTTCCATAGGAATCTTTAGTAACAATGTCATGCATTACCCTTCCAGTTTCATTATCAATATATCTAAATAGAGCGGGAGAAAGAAAGGACCATACTAGCAGATATGCTGGTACAACCTCCAGTGACTTCAGTGCAAGTACCTCAGTAACTGAAAAGAACATTTATTTCAATATCTTCCAATTATAAACTTTGGTGCTAATTTGTAAGAAGTTTTTGGTTTCTGTTGCACTCACTTTTGCTTATTATTTGTTAATATCTATTATAGTGTAACCAACATTTCACACACATCCCCTCAGATCCAGATCAGATGCACCCAAAATACAAATACAAATACTAATTAAAAAACACAACTCCAAAACATATTCTGGGTTCTTTCTGAAGCATTAAGAAATCATAAGGTGATTGTTCTGATTGGAAAGTATTGCAGAATGTCTACATAATAATAAGCTTAATTCTTTTTCCTCCTTTTTAAAAAGTTCAAGTTGGTAAACAAATAGAAATAAAGTAATGCCTTATTGTCCATCCTCTTCTTTGCTTGGGAGAATTAAAGAAGATCCTTAAGGGATGGAGAAGGATTAAGAGAGATTTTTAGGGCATCATATTGAAAGCAAAAGCTGATCAATAGCTAATTACAATGAGCAGTTAAATGAGTGATAGTTACCTAGGAGGCTTTTTATCAGGAAGTCTATATTGAGAAAGTTTCTTCTGATGATAAAGGCCAGCATAGATATAATAAAATATATGGAAATTTTTCTCTCCCCTGGAAAAAAAGAAGTATCCTCTTATAGCACACGTGTTTATTCTTGTGGCATCTTGTACAATGTAAAAGCAGAAGCTCTTATCATGAGCTCATGGAATTAGGCAGCAAATCTCCCACTTGTCTTAATGGTGTAGGATCAGCGACTGTGAAACACAAAACCCAGCCAACAACAATATTTCTCTAAAGAATGGAGGAGCTCTGGCTTCCACTCCAAAAGAACACAACTGACTATTCTTGTCATCATAGCACTGTACAAAGGATCACTGCTTTAGCAGATGACACAAACACATTTAAAATAAATAATTTTGGGAAATTAAACAGAATCCAAACATCATATAAATGGATATCAAGGACAGACAACCAATATACTTACACAGCCTGTTTTATGACCCTTGATTTTTCAAGTAGATATTCAGAAATCTTTGCCCCCATTACAGCTCCCGTGGGTGTAAACATCATTTCCAGGTATTTCCCAAAGCGACTTGAGTTGTCATTGATGGCAGTGCAGGCATTCCCAAATGCTTCAACCAGAGGATTCACCTGAAGAATTTTCTCACGCAAAGCACGGTTATTGGCCTTGACAGAACAGATACAGATCAAAGATCATTAAAAGAACGTACTGCTTACCCAGAATCCAATTCGTGCTTCAGAAGCAGAGCATCCCTTTCTCATGCTTGTATGGGCTTAGATGCTGTGTTAACCTTTCTACTTTTATAAGACCAGGGCCAACAAGTTTATGAGAAAGTCTCCCACAAGTAGGAAAGAACAAATTCTTCTTTCTCTGCAACTGTTCTGCCTCTGAGGTGTCATATAATTAGGTAGAGTACCAAACCCATCAAAAACTAAACACATCTGCCTAAGGTTAACCTTACATGCTTGATTTCCCCATCATTTGGCACTAACAGCATTACTCATTTAAGTGTGCAAGAGTTTCTAAGATTACAGCCATAGCAAGACCTGTCATTCATTATTGTATAACTGAACAACGGTGTATGTGATAAACACTGTAGATAACTACAGGCACTGAACACTCGGAATCTGGCACCTTCTCTTTAAAAAATATTGACTGGCTTGTTGTGGGTCACACTCCAATATCTTAATTCAGTACCCTCAGATGCATGATTATCCCTGTCCCTAACTCAAGTGGGACATTTCACATGAACAGCTTTAAGTATTAAAGGTTAAATGAAGTGGAAATTGGGGGTGGGGTTGGGAGGATTTGTTCATTGTTTTATGTGATTGGCTAAGAAATACCTTTCCCAAGAAGGTCAAATGTTGGACGATCAGATGGGCACTTTCTGTCTTTCCAGCACCACTTTCCCCACTGATGATAATGCACTGAACACACAAAGCAAAACAGTTAAGTGCATAGCTCACCACATGGTCCATTTCAGCTATTAGTGCTCCTATCTGTTATTTTATGGTTAGTACTAAGACTACAAAATACTTCAAGGGTCAACTCCTTCAACTCCCTTCTGAAAGGAAAGGCCAGCAAAGGCTCAGTGCAATAATTTATTCCTTAGATTACTAAAATGCTCTTGCAACGCCTGACAGCAATGTGTGTATGTGAGAAGCAGTGACTGAATTTCTAAGGGCTAAGACACATAAATGAGTGACCCTGTCTATAGGCTAACACATGCTATGCACATATGCAGCTTGTTTCAAATGCTTAAAACCCAGAAAACTGCCACAGCTCAGCACAATTCAACAGTGCTTGAATTCATATGAATTACCATGAAACACAGGGTACAGCTGTATTTAATACACTGACCAAAAGTTTGCTCCTGGTTTTAAAAATAATCCTAAATAATTGCTGCTGTGTAGAGACATTATTCTGCAGGTGATGCTGATATTCAAGCTAGAACAGAAAACTACCACCTAAACAATTCAGGAAAATAGGCATCTGTTCATTGGATGATTCTGAGAGAACATATCCATCTTCTTCCTGAGTCAGCAGTCCTTAACACATAGTATTTTATTGGCTCTCCAAATGGCTTCCAGACTCAGGGATTAGCTAGAATGGTCTAAATCACTTGGTATCCTCCTCTCTGCTGTTATGCTTCATGGACAAGATGGAAGTAGAAGGCAAGGACACCTTGAAGGCTACTGAACATTGAAATGTGAACACATTAGCAAGTCATAGCAAGTAAGATCATCAGCACACCTATTAATCTACTTAAGGTACAGTATCAACTGAGGTAATTAAAATGTTAACACAGAGCAGTTGCAGAGGTTTGTGTGTTTTTATGCAAACACCTGAAAATTATTTGCGCCACACTGTGAATGTACAAGATTTTTGGCTGGGAGAAGATACAAAGACCTAAACCACTTGACAATCCATATATAACTGAGCTTTGTGAAGAGGTTTGAAAGATATAGTAGTTCTCTGATGGTGTCCTGGGGTGTCTGACAGCAGGTGCAGGGATTGACTATAAATAATGTGTGCAATATAGCATTTGCAGCCTATTTACTTCTTGTTGGGTACTTTTGTTCTTCTTGGAAACAGATAGCCCAGTGACGGATTCACAGGGTTATGATACCTAACCTAATTGTCTAGTCTTGTGTGACTAGAAGTCATGTGCCACATTTTATACAGGTAAAGTCCTTGAGTTCTTGCAGAACTCAGAAAACTTGTAGAATTGGCTAGAACCTGACTTTAGCTTCAGGAGAAATTTTAGATCTGGAGTCAATTTTCAGGCTTCCCGGGAAAATACAAGGGAAAGCTCTATGGACAAACCAAACAGAAACAATATGTTTTTGATCTGGCTACAGTGTTTCTCTACCTGAAGAACCAACATAACTTCGGCCAGGTAATGGAGATAAACATGCTCCTGTAATCCTTTGCAAACAGACAATAGGAAACTGATTTAGATCTAAATGCAAATGACTTCCTAAACAGGTATGAAACATGTAACATTGAAGATGTACAAAGTTAGCCTGATGGGCTGATGTCAAAAGTGATTTTTTCCCCCAGATAACATGTTCTCACATAACCTATTCTACATGAGAACTTGTTTTCTTTAATGCCCCCATCAAAGAGCATATAAACCATTAAAGAAGTACCAGCCATCTCTAAGGACAGTGTACTTCCACATACTCAGTAGAATTCCTTTTTTCTTCATCTTCAATATCTCTCTTATTTTTCTTCTTTGCTTGGTACTTTCTGTTTGCAGGTTTTTTATTATTTTATTCTGCTTTTATGTTTTTAAAAAAGCATTTTCTATAAATTATTGTGTGATGTGCAGGGTAAAATCAGGAGGATTTTATACATAAAAATAATTCTTAGCCCCCAGTATTCATGTACATACAACACATCAAACTAGAAACAGTACAAAGCTACAATCTTAAGAGTGTAATAAAAAGAAATTCAGCTTCTACAGCATGGTATTTCATTCTCATTAAAATCATTGCTATATAATTGTATTTGTGTCCTTAGTACATTTATATTAGACCTATCCTTAATATATTTTACTAAAAAAGGTTCCTATTGGAACCTCAATGGTTCCTGTTTTTTCTGACTTGTAGTTAAAGGAATTGCTTGATAGTGTTTTTATGCAACAGGAAAGTAGTTCAGACTCTGTAAATCTGCTATTGCATTGAGACCATCGTATTTTACACAGGTGCAAATTATTAAAATGCCTAGCGCGAGACAGGCTAGAATCAAGGTGTGCAGCAGCACTCTGCAGTTGGTGTCAACTGCCAGGACTTCATGAGTGTCCAGGAAACTATATTGGTCAGGTTACCCTATCATTTTATTTAACCTGTTAGTCTCTTTTATGCCACTGTGACCTCTTCAGAATTCCCAAACCTGAGCAGATTTCTACTTCAGTTTTCTTGATAAATAAAAGGCTGAAAGAAAAAGTTCCCAAAGTACAACGTAAGAGAACATTAGCCACAGCCACGTAGCATAGTGGAACTATGGTTAATATGAAATTTAAACTCAAAGGAACAGATTCTTACCTGATCTTTGCTGAATGTAACCATACTTTGGTAGGCAGCATCCGCAGAGGCAAATATGTGGGGGGGATTTGATGAACGCTTCACACCATGGTAAAGCTTGGAGAACTAAATTTAAAAAAGAATGCACAGTAGTCAAAACACGCACCTAAGTTACATAACTAAGAACTGAAAAGATGATAGTGTCTACCTTCTGCCTGTTCAACAGAAGGTAGTTGCCTGTTTTACCACAGAATTTCCACTGAATCACTTGGAAGAAGAGTGGTAAGTCTTGGCACTGCCCAACTTCTAGAATACAAATTACGATCCCCAAAAGGCAGTCTGACATTTCCCACACAAGACAGTGACGGGAACTGTACCACCAGTAACAGAATGTCAAACGCAAGCATTCAATCAAGGAAATACCCAACCTATACAAAAGTAACTTCAAAGATAATAGTGAATCTGAAATCTGGCCCCATGGAGACTAAGATTTATGGCTACGCCTCCCTTCATATTTGTGGGGAATTAAGTTGCCTCTCTTGTTACAGCATTTGATTCACATGTTTCTTTTAAGCAGCAGCTGATGGCACAGGATATATAACAACTCAATAGTCAGAGCAATTCTTCAGAAAGCATGAGGAGGTTCATATAACCACCTTCTATTTCCCAGAAGAAAGCCCTAAATGCCAGGTGAAGCACTGCTGTGGCTGGGGTAATCTTCACCCCTCCTACGGAAATTGTGGCACCATGCAGAAAGGAATGAAATCAAAGTAGACCAAATTAAGAAGAAAAAGATATGTAGCCATAATTTCCTGGAAGAAGAAAAGGCTGGGCTTTCAGCTGTGTTCCTAGCTTCCAACATCACTTAACTACTTTAGCCAGTGGTGTTAATGGAAAATGTAAAATGAGGACTGTCCACAGCTTGGAATCTCTCTTACCTGGGGAGAATAAATGCTGAGATTCTGGAAAGGGTTTAAGGCAATTAAAATGTCTCCAACATAAGTATAAATTTGTAAGTCAGCATAGCGTTTCTGCAGCTGATGGATAATTGTATCCTGAGAAGATTACAAAAAGTTTGACAGTTAAACAGCATTTTCCCAGTTAGGAAAGATTTTTGAAAAATACTGAGAACACTGATTAAGAAATACTTATTATAAGTGTTACTAATTATTTTTCAAATGCCAACACCACAAAACCAAACAAATATTTTCAAAGTTCTTGCCAATGTCATAATACTAAGTTAAATGTCAACTCCTATTTCCAGTTTAGTACATATTTTGTAATAACATCCTGAGAAACAAACCCTCTGAAGAGAAAATGGCCACGCACATTATCGGTGCACTTCATAGTACATTTCCATTTGATTTTTTATTTGACCGTGAAACAAGGATAATAATTTTTCAAGGATTAAATTTTAAGTGGTAATAAGAGACTGTTTTAAACAGGACACTAGTACAATTTAGTACTATGTCTTTTTCTTGCTGGCATACAATTCATGGATCAAAATAAAACTTTACAGATACTCTGAATATAGGCAATAGAGTGAAATAAGCAACTGATTGTTTTATCCAGAAGCTGTAGATATCAATTAGTCTGTATAAATCCATCCATTTTAAGAAAAATCAATTAAATCTAGATCTTCATGACTAAACTTCACATTTTAGAAAACTCACAAAATAATTTAAACTAGCATCACTCATAATTAATTTTTTCCACATAATAGGATTCACCACTACTGCTTTTATGTCACTATACAGAATATTAATGAAGTGATGACAGCCAGTCAGTCACATGATAATTCCTTTGCCATAGAGAGACAAAAGCTTGCAAGGAGGAACTCTTCTCATTCTGTTAAGAGAAGCCTAAAAAGCAGAAACAAGCAACATGTGAGACACAATTGTCAGAAACTGCTACTCAGACAGTACAGTACCTCATCTAGAACTTCCAGATTTACCAAATCATCATCTAGAGTGTACTTGTCAGCTCCATCCACATGGTAAGGTCTCCTAGTATGTATTCGTTCATGCCTGGAAGTTTGTTAGTAGAGCACCAGTGTTATAAAACTGTATTGAAGACAGCAAAAATTAAGAGGCAATGGGAAGTCACGGGTGAGTGTTCTTGTCATGTGGAAAGCACAGGCATGCTCTGTGAAATACGTATTTTGCTTGAAGTATCCTTTTATAAAAGCAATAGCTCAGCTTGCTGTCCAGTGTAATATCTTTTTTCACTATGTGAAAAAAGATCTATCTATTTATCAATGCTCAGAGATGAAGATTTATTTATAGGCTTACTACTCCCCACTCACACAGTGACATAAAAAAAAAATTCTCTCTCTTTTCCTTCCCTTCTCACTCTAAGTTAATAACCTACAACTCTGTTTAATTAAATCTTCCCCCCACATACCCAGTCTATAGCACTGCCATCTAACAAAGTTACAGGAAGCGGTAAGTAGCATGAAATCCTGTTACCTTGGTGTGTGCCAAAGTGCCTCCTCAGATGACCCTAGATCTGACCCAAAACAACAATTTTGAACCAGAGCTGCCATCAGACTCTAAATTGTATGGATGTTCCGTCAGCTTGTCCTCAGAGATTTAAGCCACACAATAAGCAGCAGAGACAAAACTGTCACCTAACCCCTTTATAATCAGATTATACTGAAGGAATCTTTGAAAATGCTGTGTATGTAGTTTTAAACAACACATCTTGTTGAAACGGGCAAATCTAGAGGCGCTAATATGTCTTCCACAGAGGAGGTGAAATATGAGTGCTGTAAGCACAACTAGGCTTTTCTTTACAACAAACATAATCAAAGCGTAGTAGGACACCCACCGAGATACAGTCTGCATCCTGCTGAGTAACATTTAGCATTGATCCTCAATGACAGTCCCTGACAGATTGTATCTGCATTGGTTGCCATGTAGAAAGTAGGAATCACATGATCACACATGCTGAAACAACACTAAATATTCTATCAACCACTATCAGAATGGTACAGTGACTTGGCAGGAAACGCTGATCATCTATAATGCTGCAGGTTAGTAAGAAGATGTAGCAGGTCTGTTTTTTCTTTAATGGTATCTTCATATACTCATGGAACCCTGTTTCAAAAATGAGCATTGAATTTTTTGCAATTTTCCCCTTTATGTACGCTTCTACATTTGAACCTAGTCAGCTTTCATTAAGTAAAAAAGAATGTTTTCCTATCCAAGAGCTATTATATTATCAGAATTATTGTATGGGAAGCCTCTAACACAGAGGAAGGAGAAGTGTTAGCTGAGTACAACTTCACCGATAACTGCAAGTCACATTTAAAGATCCTAACTTTTTTAAGTCTATTTTTATGCATTTTCTTTTTTTAATTTTGGCTACCCTGCGAGTTCTGCAAAACTATGCTGTTAACGGTTTATTTGAATTCAACTAAATGAAACTGTCAAGCTGTTTTGTCAGCCAGGAAACAAAATAGCAGCAACATAGCAGGCTTTGGTGACAGTCCCACTTAGATTTTACATGTTGTACATATGAAGAAATGAAAGAAGGAGAACACAAATAAGAAGCTATGAAAGAAAAATTGTTGCAGTGGGTATTATTACCAGTGGGCAACATGCAGATTGAATTTCTTCCCATTTCCATCCAATTAAATTTCCCATTTTCAGATTTTTGAATAGGTGGTGGGTTGTGTATTCTTTTTGGCCTTTTGGGGCTTTTTTTGGCAGTCACTATGTTCAAGAACATCACCCTTTGCTGACAAGCCAGATCATCAAAGGAGTAGAAACACATGTAAGTGGCCTAATGTACCACTGTTTTTTCCAACTGTTGTTTCTGTTTCAAACCAGAATTCATCTCTTACTTCACTGCATAGAAAAATGCTGTTGTAAACAATGTAAATCATTTAGAAATGGGAGCACCCCTGTCTACAAAGGAAACAAATGTTTTAACAGTTGCTTTACTTCACAGAGATGTAACTAACAAAGCCATGGCTAGCTATTACAGCTAACAGAACTCATCCGTGAAGCTTTTTCTTCATGAAGCAAACCATCATAGCCACAGTGTTAAATTGCAGCAAGCCACAGGTACAGATGTACCTACCAGAGGTGCAGGAAGAAGGGGGAAAAGGGCCCATCCAAACCTAAGCATCTCTAATTGCAGAATGGCTTTGTAAACTAATCTGTTATCTGATTGTGTATTAAACACCTGCTGTTTGTTCTCCTTAAGTGATAAACAAATCAAACTTTTTACTGGAAAGGGTTTTTTTTTAACACTATGTAAATAAATAACTATGGAAACTGGTCTTAATCAAATGTAAGTAAACCCTATATACCTTTGTGCACATATTTTATGGTGCCTAACTCATTTTCCTAAGTACATGATTAGGAAGAGGATATTAGGACCATAACATCACATTAGCTTCAAATCTCCTGCTGACCTCATCAGTTTTCTACTGATCCTGTGTCCTGCAGATACATGACAGTGGACAGAAAGAATATAGACAGCAGCCTTTAATTATTTTCATAATTTTATATCAGAAATACAATCTGCTTTTAATTTTTTTTAATCTTAAAATGCAGAAGGAAACCCTTAATTGGGGAAATAATTTCAGTATATTTTTTGCATAAAAAGTAGCATTATCAGCCATTTTTTTCAATTACTCTTCCTTTCTCATGACACAAAATGTACAAATTCTAAGAACACAATAAAAGATGTTAGGCTATTTGCCTTAAGGTTCCAGCAATGTTCTGAATCATCTCCTGGAGGATGTAGTCTCCTCACTGACAAAGGAAGTGGTAAAAGGCCAGTCATTAAAGAATCTGAACCTTATAAAACCTGAAGAGCAGAAATAGATTTATTCCTGAACTTTAGTGATGAGCACTGCTGTTGAAAAAGTTTCTATGCTCCCAAGCACCTACCCTTTGCCTTTTTATCAGGCAGAATAGCTGGAAGGGACAGAGTTTTCTTGGATTTTGGGGAAGGACCAAAAGGCAAGAAGCATTTCTCCCTCTAGAGAACATTTTCATGAAGAGGTCAGGCAGCATTCATTTGTTCTACTTGTGGGGAAGAGAGTTTGAAAGAAAATAACCTCCTCTTGTACTAGACACCAGCCACAGAAATAGAAGTGCATTGTAAATAGCTATATGCTCAGATCACCCTGCTATTGAAGTGATGACAGTGAAGGAAAAGCTACATGGAACACAGTCTACTAGATCAAAAAGTCATCTTGCTGGCAGGTCCAAATTGAGGAAGAAAGTAGCATAGACCAAGAATTTTTATGTTCATTGGGAAGCTTCCTCTCTGATCGCTCTCTCCTCCACTCTAACATTCTTCTACAAGCGCCTTTACTTTGGTCTCTTGGTGCAGTTAAGCATTTATGTTGACTGGGGTTTTAAAAATGAATTGCACCCAAACTGAGATTTACATGAAAAATACTCAACACAATGAGAAAGAAAAAGGAGTGGAGAGCATGCTACTGCCACACAGGGTAACGCAGCCTATTTCCTGTGCATGTCAAAGAGTGAATTTTGCTCCTGTACATCAAGTTTCAGCCTGGAGTAATTTGTTGCAGTGAGGTCATAGTAGAAACACTGACACAGCCTTAATTATAACATAAATGCTGCAGCTATAATGAAAATCTGTGCAACCTCCAGTAAAAACATAGCCCCTATAATCAGACAAGGATCACTTTTGGGGGCCACAGGAGCTTTTTGATTAATAAAAAAAAGAGAAGAAAGTAGTTTTAAGCTCAGTTGCCTAATATTCATATAGATGAATGCTAGAAGAATTGCATTAAATTGCATTGTGTATAGGATAAGAGGACTGTTTCTGTTATTATCTTTGAGTCCAAAGGAAATTACTGGCTGGATGCAATCAAGTGCCTTGCAGTTAATTGCTTTCAAAACTAAATGTGAGCTGGCAGAGAAGCGAGGTATCTGGCTGTAAGAATTACTTCCTTGGATGGACTGATGCTGTAATCCAGCTGGCTAATAAGTAGGGGAAGCTGCCAAGCCAGCGTAGTCTCATCCTAATATCTGACAAGATAGCCTGAACATACCTGCCCTTCTCAAACTATTAGGTGCTTAGATTTCCATTTTTTATTTTTTCTCTATACTACCCTTCCCTCTCCCCCCGGGCTTCTTCAAGTTTGATTCTTCTTGCTGTACAGACCTGCATTTTATCCTTCAAAGTCAAGGTTTCATAACTGTCTGCTCCCCATTACAGAAGCCATCTTCTAAATGGTGACCAGCAGTAGCACACTGACCCAGCACATGGGTAAAACAGTAAACTTTGAACCCTTTACTTGCCTACAGTGAACCTGTTTAAAATCTTATCCATGCAAAAGCTTAAGCTTCTTCATTCTTTTAAAAAGTTAAACCAGAGGTTGGTAGAAGATCTGTTCTGGTTGACTCCTGTGAAGGACCCTATTTACAGACAGGAACATAAGCTACCCAGACTGTAGGAAAACATCCAAGAGAAGAATGAGCCGCGTCTGGAGTTGGCCTCTTTGAAGCTACTGATAACTGGGAAGCTGCCACTTTGAACCATATAAACAAAGCCATTTGCTACTTGACCAACATTAACTCTCAAACATCAGATCAAATATAGATTCCTACTTGTTTCCAGTTCTGCAATTGAATGCTACATGAGGCACAAGTCTATGTATTAATGACATTTCTTGTTCTCACAATGTTATTATGCATGAGGACACTATTTGAATAACCTGAAAGCATTTCACAATCCTTGTGTGAAAAAAAAAAAAAGTAAAAAACCCACCAGAGCAAAACAAAAAACCCTGAGTGTGAGTCTGTGACAGGATCCCCATGGATTTTAAGATATGCTTCCTACCTAGAGGCAGATAGGATGAGAATAAGAGTGATATGGCTCCTAAGATGAACTACAAATCAGTATCCATGTATTAAAAAGTAATGATGTGTTTGACTTTAGAATAGATGGGGAACTTCATATAACTGTTTCTGTGGCAAAACTGTTAATTAAGAATATATTGTTGTTAATTAGTATTTATGCCGTTAGATACTGTTAGAAACCAGACAAAACACACACACAGTTAGCTGATAGCTTATAAAAGGGATATGGAGAAGAAATAAAGATAATACCCGGAGTTCATCCTTATAAAGCTGTGACACTGAACTGTCTCACAGAGTTTTTCCCCAGGAGAGTTTAAGAAACAGGAACGCAGGAGTGGAGTGCTGATGCTGAAATGTCAGCTTCACTCAAGACCATGGCAAAACTGAGAGATTTCGGTCTAAAACATGGCAATAGATCAAAAAAGAATCCTCTTCATTACAAGTGTGGAAAGAGGGGTATCCTGACTGGGTTTTCTGAAAGTGAAAACACCTATTTGCATAAGAATAGGATAATTTAGGGGAAAATAAAGCTGGTGGAAAAGTTTCAAAGAGCGTCTTTTTCAGTAAAAAAGCAGGAGCAATTATTAATGCCGTTTTCATTTTAAAAGTCATTTCTACTAGCATAAACCTTTTCTTTTTATTATTAATTTCTAACCTAGGGGAAATAATAGCATATAAAGCACTCTAATAAGTTATCTCATGACAAAGTGACAATATGTTTGTCAGCAACAAACTGATGATGTCAACAAATGTGTGCATTAGTAGGCTCCTTTGTGCCCAGCAAGGACAATGAAGTACTCCTTCAGTTCAGAGACCCAAAGAACTGTGCTGAAGTTTAGCCTAGCTATACTGCACACAAAGAAGTTTATAAATGGAGAATGAAAGAAACTGAATTAAGGAGATGTTTCAGTCTGTGGCTCCAGAGGCTGACCTAGATGATCTTGCCAAAAGGGACAGCTTTCTTATTGCTGGTCATGTGAAGTATTCCCTCCCTTACTTCAGCTATATCAGCTGAGGCACCCCTCTGCAATCACTAATAGAGTAGAAAATTATCTGTGTGTTCCTGCTGGCTTCGTTTTTTTCTCTTACTTCAGAAGTTCTAGCTCAGGAGGTTTTGACAATCACTGGAGATGCAATAAAATCAGCATCATGAGTTTGTTCCTGGGAGATGTGGCAAAATGAAAGAAGCCAGTTTGCTCCATTTCAGTAACAGTGAACTACTAGATCAGCTCTCACATCCCTCCATGGTACCCTTTAAATCAGTAGTACTGACTTTCTAGTCTGCAGACTTGCTCTCAGGCACAGTGGTCTAAAGTGATGTCCCAACATAGACAAAACTGGCATGGCTTAATTAGAAAGAGAATCCTATTAAAAAACCACAGGTGCTGAGTCAGAAAAGAATTAAAAGATGCAAACAAAAAGAACTGATGCTAGAAGACCTTCAAATGAGACAAACCCCGGATACTCCAGCTGTCATCACCAGAGACTCCCTGGATTCCCTCAAATGGAAGTACTGTTAACACCAGCATCCTGATGATTTTCCAGTTTCTGGAAATGTTTAGCCTGTGCTCTGAGAACATTTTCTTTTACTTATCTTTTAAATGATTGATCTGTAGTGCTGCTGTACTCCTAAAAAAGGGCATCGACTTTTCTTTATCTCTGAACACTGGGGAATTAATGCACATTTCATTGTACCTGTCATGGGCACAGCAATAAACAGGAGCAGCGTGCACACATATCCAATGACATAATCGAAAGGTTTTACTCAGCATGGATTTTAATTGGCCTATTTACTTCAAAGTGGTGATTGTATATTCAGATTACTTCTACAGATCACCACAAATAAATAATAGTAAAGTTTTTACAGTACCATGTGATCATGTGTTCTTCTCTATGTCAGATTCTGTACTGAAAATTATTTTGTAAATGCATTACAGGGATTTTAAAGGCTGTTAATTGGTACCAATTTTCCTAGGGGAGACTATCTCCATATTGTAGAGCCAAGCTCTTTCCCCAGGGAAAATTATAATTAGATATTCCTGGTGGTTGTTTCTATTGTAATAATCTTATGCTTGTAGTCCAGTATGAACCGTCTGGCCCACAGACTTGATACTTTGTATGGATATGCTTTTACAACCTCATTTGTACCATTTGATCAAGTTTCAAATCTTTGGAAAGTCAGCATTTCATCATTCTGAACAATATGTTGTAAATTTCAATGGCAAATGATCACTGAATTTTTGTCCTCACTGAGCATGCTCTCACCCCAGATCAAAGTGGACCCGTGCTTCAAAAAACCAGTAAGCATACCCCAGTATAAGGCTACAACAATCAGAAAGACATTCTTTAATAGCAGGTAGACTCTCCGGCTTCAAAGTGAAGGTGGAGTCAACTGTTTCTCCAGGAGCCTAAACATGTCTCCCCTCTTATCACTCACTGGCAAAGGAAGAAGCCATTTAATTCACAGGCATGGCTAAAAGCAAACCAAGTCTCCAGGAAAGAACAAGATGGGTACAAAGAGTCTGTTGAGAGTACAGCTTTAAGAGTAGAAGAGAAAGTATAACAGACCTGTCAAAGGTGAATTCAGTGACGAGACAAAACAAGAGGGCTGCGTGCTACATTATCAGGTGAGGAGAAACACCAAGAACAGAGAAATGGCTGAAAAAAATAGAAGAACCTGCACTCGGACTTGCTGAAGAAGGTGGAGATTAGAAACAGAAGCTATTGAAGTGGTAGAGGAAGAAGACACAGAAAACTGACTCTAACAGGAGAACAAAGCCTGAAGGACAAACAGAATGGAGACTGGTGGGACTTGACACAAGTCGCAATCAACCTTGGCAAACAAAATATTTAAGATGGGTTAGCTGGTGACAGGATGGACAAGGAGTTAAACTCCCTTAAGTGAGCACTGATTCATATTGGAGGTGCTGGGAAGCAAAATCTCTCCTATATTCCAATCATACGTATGAATAAGGGGCAGAAGCTTTTCTGTCACAGCACCCCCAGTTAATATATAGAAACGCCTGAGGAAAGAAATGCTGTCTTGGTCTTGATTCCTTCTCAATCCACATTATGGATATATATTCCAGAAGAATGTATTTGAGTACATTTCAGAGGTCATCTTAAGACAAAGATCATTTCACTCTACTTCTATTTGGTCAACAGCTGGGAAAACGCTGATATCTTTCAGGCCAGCCAACCCTCAGCTGCAGGCAATCTGATTTGTGAGTTGTTACACAGGGAAGGTCTAATTACAAGGCTAGATAAAGCAAAGACTTCTACTGTAGCATTGGCATAGCTTCCTCATTCACAGTAAGCAGTTCCTGGCTTGTTTTCCAGAAAAGGAAAAAACCTCAAAAAACTCACCAACACAGAAGTCGACTTCACCTTGAAACTGTACTTACAGGTATTCTCTTATTTTAACTTGTACATTTTTGTTTGGGCTTTTAGCATTTAAGCTACAAAATTTTATGGCGTATGAGTATATACATGTTTATGACTTACCAATCACGACATTTAATTTTCTTCATCAACATTAGTAGCTGTTTGTTTATAATAATGGGCCAGAGCTTATCTCGCTCTAGACAAATTCCATATTACAGAATGATTGCTGAGCTTGGGAAGGTGTGTTCATTTGCATTTAATTCTCTTTTGAAATAGTGAAATTCTGCCACCCTCTGGACAACAACTAAACTAAGACATATTTACAGTCAGCCTCAAAAGTAAAAAATCCCATTTCTGCTGATAAACATTCATTGCTTTTTAAGTACATTTTAAAATTAATTACTAGGCTGTATGAAAAACAGCAGTTACTATTAAACTACAGAAAAACAATTACTTTAAACACTGAACAGTCTTCTTACTAATAGTATCTAATCAAACAGCAAACTTTAAGTGTTCTATTCTTAACCTTTTCTAGTAGTCACTTCATTGTTCACAGTTGTATTTTTAAAGATCTGCTACCAAAATATAATTCTTCATTATGCCAATATGCCAATTTCCACAAACCAGAACATTCTGGAATTATTAGCAAAATTATTATTGGCTCTGTGACAGCCAAAGTGAATACATACAGAACACAGTTCAGTGGGAGAAAGAGGGTTAAGGAGAAGGTTGCATTATGGGTGATCAAATTAACTTTAAAAAGTATCATTGGGAAAATACATCCCGTGTATGCACATGTCATGTAGCACTTACTGCTAGTCTATGCATTCGAAGTTTCAGCTTGTGCTTTAGTGTGGGGAAGGAGGGCTGTAGCATGGATGTTGCACGGTACCTTGTTTTGGCTATGGAGCCTAGCTGCTGTTGTTCTTGAATGAGTTCAGCCAGCTGTTTTTGCAGAGACATATCTTTACCATGTACTTGTTTAATAAACGGATGCTCCAAAAGGTGGGTGACTGAAGGACGCTTTTCAAAATCCTTGATAAGACACCTGTGACAGAGAAATTATGGTCTTAGGCGATGATGTTATTTCATTACAGCATAGTTAGAGTTGGCTTACTGTGTGCTTGTTATTGTACAGTAGTTTCTTTTCCACAAATTTGAGTTCCTCAGTATGAAACAAGGCCCTTCCACTACATTGGAACAAATCTGGCATAAAATACTTAACTAAGTGAATTCACCCTACAAGTATACTACTATAAAGGCTATGAATTTGAGTTTATTTAATTTCTCTTTTTAGCTGTAACTAGCTTACTATGAAAAAACAGCATTGTACCTTGTATGTGATGTACAGTTAATACACCTTAAACATTACCTAAGATTAACAGACAATACTTCACTTGCTTTAATTTTCTACCTATTCTCCAGTAAGAGTTTGACTGAGAACTGTAGGATATAGCCTACTAAAAACCTCAGGTGATACAATGCTAATCAGAACAATTTGATATAGAGTTTTGTTTTGTTTTTAAAATGCATGTTTCAGGTAGGTCTTCTATATTGCAATGATAATTGTTAGCATAAGAATCATAGAAAATTCTGCAAACCTACGTAATCCAGACTGGAAGAGAAATGAAGGAGTCACAATTAAATGCTAGCCAGGGTACCAAAGTTCTGTCTGTGACAGGAACAGGTGATTTAGTAATGAGTGAAGAAATACATCCTATTAAATTAGCACAAAATAAAGTATCATGCTAATTTAAATAATTGAGGTTTAAAATTGAGGAAGCCATGATTAAAGTTGAATTCTCTTCTGCACAATAAAGCTGAAATAATACAGTCCATGCAGAAGAATGATCTAAGGGGATTAGACTGCTTTAAAGTACCCTCTAATTCTTTATATTAAAGTATGCTCTTTATCTTACTCAAATAAAATATTGATATTATTTGAGAATGTGAAAAAGAAATGCTGCAATTCAGTACATATCTCCCTTCTATCATCTATCATTTCAGCACATTATAGCCCAAGATGAGTTTACTTGATGAGATGCATTCATATTAAATACTTCAAAATTACATCACATATTTGCTGATATTAAGACATTCACCTAAAGTACTTCCTTAGCAGGGCCAAATATCACAAATAAATATTATCTTTTTAGCCAAAGGTTCTATGAAACTTTAACACATTTTAGAATAATTTATATTCTAGCAGTATCAATAGTAATTAAGCCAATTTAAACTACATGTAAAAAAAAAATCATACACATTAATTGATTTCAAATATTACCAAACATATTAGCAAATTATTAAAGTTTAGCCTCACCTCAAATACTTTACTGAAGCCTAAAGTCTGGTCTTAAAATGATCCTGCAATATCTTTGAACATAACTTTAATACTTTAGGATCCTGAAAACCATTTTCCCAACCTCTTCTTGGTACTTTCTAGTCCAGAAAAAACAGTTTGTAAAATGTACTACCAGTTTTATAACTATTCTGGTGAATTTTGTTAAAGGCTAGAACTGTAGCCTTCTGATAGAAAAACTGAAGTAACAGAACCTGCTTTACCTCCATCCCTCTGAGTGCAAGGCTATAAATACTAGTCCTTCCCCCCCATGAAGAAATCCATCATCAACCTTCAATAGATTCTGACAAACACACCCCTCCCCCCCCTTTTCCTTTGTGATCCATGGTTTTTAAAAGTCAATACACCCACACAGACAATATGGTCCATGCCAATCCTGGTTAAATTGATATGTTTCCCGAGAAAAAGGAAAAAGCATTTGAGAAGAAAGATAACATTAATCAGGAAAGCAGAGGAAAAAAAAACCCAAACCAACAAAAACTATAAAGTATAAAAATATCACAGATTTATGGCAAGTATCTAAAGTGTACATTTCAGTCTGAAAAGCTCATGCGCTCATGTGATTTTTACCATTCTAACAATAATTACAAATCTACAGTATTTATGCTATATTCTTAATATATGATTTTTCTTGTTAAATTTGATTACATCAGGAATTTTTCAGTAATATAACTGAATCGAAGCGAAGCTTTGTCATAGAATCATACAATAGTTTGTGTTGCAAGGAACCTTTAAAGGTCATCTAGTCCAACACCCATGCTGTAAGTAGGGACATCGTCAAGTAGTTCAGGTCGCTTAGCACTCTGTCCAAGCTGACCTTGGACATCCCCTGCTGACTGCTCAACTCTGCATGCGTGTTACTCTTGGGCTTTGCAACTACTGAAGTTCATACATTGCTTTATCTATGTGCAGCCTTCATTCTCTGGTAACAGGGTATGTGTACAAACTCTGGTCACTCAGGATTTCACTTTGAACACAAGTAAAACTTCACAAATTCATAAGATGACCAAGCTAGTGACACAAGACACATCCATACGATTCTGTGATCCAAGTGCCTGTTCCAAGCTCAGACAGAGCACACCTACTAGTGTGCCAAGTTTGTGCCTGCGTCAGAAGAACAAAGATCTTTCAGATCATAGAATCATAGAATCACTAGGTTGGAAAAGACCTTAGAGATCATCCAGTCCAACTGTATCTGTCCACCACTAAACCATATCTCTCAGCACCTCATCCAATCATCTCTTAAACACATCCAGGGATGGTGACTCCACCACCTCCCTGGGCAGCCTGTTCCAGTGTGTGATAACCCTTTCGGTGAAGAACTTCTTCCTTACGTCCAATCTAAACCTCCCCTGGCGCAGTTTGAGTCCATTCCCCCTCGTCCGATCATCTGTCATTAGGGAGAAGAGACCAACACCCACTTCTCCACAACCTCCTTTCAGGTAGTTGTAGGCAGTGATCAGGTCTCCTCTCAGCCTCCTCTTCTCCAGGCTAAACAAGCCCAGTTCCCTCAGTCGCTCCTCATAAGACATATTCTCCAGACCCTTCACCAGTTTTGTGGCCCTTCTCTGGACACGCTCCAGGACCTCAATGTCTTGCTTGTAGTGAGGGGCCCAAAACTGAACACAGTACTCGAGGTGCGGCCTCACCAGTGCCGAGTACAGGGGGAGAATCACATCCCTGGACCTGCTGGCCACGCTGTTTTTGATACAAGCCAAGATGCCGTTGGCCTTCTTATGGTTAGTGAGATGCCACAACAAAGCAGAGAGCTAGTAACCAAGAGTTGTGTGAGGATGAGGGACAGCTGCTTAAATTCACGTCTGTAACTTCTTGTATGTGTACTTCTACTCCAGTTCTGGGAAGAGACTGGCAGGAGCATGTGCATCTCCACTGAAGCTGGATTAATCCATCAACTTAAATGGCAAGTTCCTAGCACATTAAAAAGAGCAGCAGAAAGACCAGGCAGGCCATAGGGAATTGAAGTGTGTATGGCACATACACCCCTTTTGCTCTGAAACAGAGCAGAAGTGTTGACACAGTCAGTTCTAGAAATTATTCCTTATTGTTGTTCAAGTGCCAGTAACCGTCTGGCAGCTTAGTCACAGCAGGTACTGTGGGCTGAGTGCGTACTCAGATATTCAGTAACAATTTGGTGCATCACCAGACCTGCTGAGATGGAGTGAAGTAGAGAGAGCTGTCATGTGACACTGAAAAGGTAGTCCTTATGTTTCTCCTCTTGGTGCCTATTCCTTTGTCCTAGTTCCTCTCTATATAGACAAGACCTATTAATTTTCTGAGGTCTATTTACATTCTCTGTTTCTACACATCATCATTTCCACTGTATTGCTTTTAGAGCCACACCGAATGTGTGCTGCTGCTGTTCTCAGTCAACATTCACTGTAAAATAACAATTTTTGGGCAACCACCTATGTGCCAGTGAAAAATGACACATTAGATTGCCAGTGTCACTGCAGGTGCTCAGTAAGGTATCATCTCCTACACTGGAAGCAGTACTGACACTATACTGCTCTTCAGAAAAAAATAATTTCAAATAGAACATAAGCTCTAACGATGCTAAAGCCTGTATGAAGGTGAGTCATTTCTACTGACCTGCACCCTCAAATAGAATGTGCGAAAAAGTTAATCATACAGATGCCTGAGTCCAAAGCTGCCAGTACATCCAGTCAGGAGATGTATTCCATGTAAAGGACAGAAAAAAAAATTAAGAAGTAATACACAATTTGAAAGAGGAAGGGTACAGTAACACACCATCTTTTATAATGTTTCTTATCAGAACGTATGCTTCAATGCAATCAACAGAAATCAGTGTGCGCATTGTGAAAGTAAAAAACAATATTAAGAAGTAATATCACTGAAGGATTTTTTTTTTAAACTAAAATATCTTCAGGTGCTCATCTGTGCATTCATTGAAGACCAATATGGAAAGTTAGCTCAGGACTGTGAAACATCAACCATGCTGTAATTACATACAGAAACATCAAATGTGCAAATTAAGTCAATGTGGTCCATGGAAATTATTTTAAAAAGTGGTGAGATTGCCTTGCACTGAGCAAACTGATGAGCAAATCTACTTCAAGATGGGTTTCATATAAGGTATGATGAAAATATGATCATATTTTGTCTGCTATTTTTTGAGTCTAAAACAATGTGAAGTAGAGATTGAAAAGGAAACAAACATTGTATATGTTTGCCTTGATGAAAGTCAATCCATTACCTAATTTGAAATTCTAGTATCTTCCATCATGCTTTCTTAGCTGAAAATTAATTCTCGGAATTCATTAGTGTCACTACATTAAACATAGGTTGCAGCCATTTGCTGCACCCTCACAGCCAGGCTCCTACGCACTATTTATTTCCACTCTGCCACAATTACAGGCAAAGATGAAGCATTTATTAGCAGGGGATAAGAGCAGACTCCCATACACACAGGCCTGTCTGACACAGCCTCTAAAAATTCACTGGCTGCTTGCACTTGGACGATAACATTTTTGGAATTGCTACGTCTCCACAATGTAAACTGCCATTTTGCAAGTGCAAATCAGATGACTGAAAAGGGGAGCTATTTATTGGCATTCATGAGCTAATATTTTCTAATGAATAAATGGAAAGAAATAGATTTCGTAAGAACTGCAATGGTGGGCTAAATCTCCTGTGTGTTCAGAAATAGA